CAGGATGGAAGATGAAATTAAAACCTTCCACGATAAACAAAAGTTAAAAGAATTTGCAGCTAGAAAACCATCTCTTCAAAACATCCTTGGCAAAACATTACAGGAAGAGGAAATGGAAAATAACAATGAAAACCAACAGTGGGAGGTAGGACACTAAAGGGGGGGGAAATAATCAAAGAGGAAAACAAACCATGTTTAGTAACATAAATAAACAAATATGGCTGGAAGAACAACCCATATCTCAATAATAACCCTAAATGTTAATGGCTTAAACTCACCAATCAAGAGACACAGGCTAGTAGAATGGGTCACAAAACAAGACCCAACAATATGCTGCCTACAGGAGACGCATTTGATAGGAAAAGACATACATAGGCTGAAGGTGAAAGGTTGGGAAAAATCATATCACTCATATGGACTTCGGAAACAAGCAGGAGTATCCATACTCATATCAAATAAAATAGATTTCAAGCCAAAGTTAATCAAAAGGGATAAAGAGGGATACTACATACTGCTCAAGGGAACCATACACCAACAAGACATAACAATCATAAATATATATGCCCCAAACAATGGTGCAGCTATGTTCATCAAACAAACTCTTCTCAAGTTCAAGAGTCTAATAGACCACCATACAATAATCATGGGAGACTTCAACACACCTCTATCACCACTGGACAAATCTTCCAAACCAAAGTTGAATAAGGAAACTATAGAACTCAATAACACAATTAATAACCTAGACTTAATTGACATATATAGAGTATACCACCCAACATCAAGCAGTTACACTTTTTTCTCAGCAGCACATGGATCCTTCTCAAAAATAGATCATATATTATGTCACAGGGAAACTCTTAGACAATATAAAGGAGTAGAGATAATACCATGCATCCTATCTGATCATAATGGAATGGAACTGAAAATCAATGATAAAAGAAGGAAGGGAAAAGAATACATCACTTGGAGAATGAACAATAGGTTACTGAATGATCAATGGGTTATAGAAGACATCAAGGAAGAAATTAAAAAATTCTTAGAGATTAATGAAAACACAGACACAACATATCGGAATCTATGGGACACATTGAAAGCAGTTCTAAGAGGAAAATTCATTGCTTGGAGTTCATTCCTTAAAAAAAGAAAAAACCAACAAATAAATGATCTCATACTTCATCTCAAAATCCTAGAAAAAGAAGAGCAAAACAACAGCAAAAGAAGAAGAAGGCAAGAAATAATTAAAATCAGAGCTGAAATTAATGAAATCGAAACAAAAGAAACAATTGAAAAAATTGACAAAACTAAAAGTTGGTTCTTTGAAAAAATAAACAAAATCGACAGACCCATAGCCATGCTAGCAAAGAGAAGAAGAGAGAGAACTCAAATTACTAACATACGGGATGAAAGAGGCAGTATCACAACAGACACTTCAGAAATACAGAAGATAATCAAAAATTATTTTGAATCCTTATACTCCAATAAATTAGAAGATAGTGAAGGCATAGATAAATTTCTTAAGTCATATGATCTGCCCAGATTGAGTCAGGAGGATATAGACAACCTAAACAGACCAATATCAATTGAGGAAATAGAAGAAACCATCAAAAGACTACCAACTAAGAAAAGCCCAGGACCAGATGGGTATACAGCAGAGTTTTACAAAACCTTTAAAGAGGAACTAATACCAATACTTTTCAAGCTACTTCGGGAAATAGAAAAAGAGGGAGAACTTCCAAATTCATTCTACGAGGCCAACATCACCCTGATACCTAAACCAGACAAAGACACTTCAAAGAAAGAAAACTACAGACCAATATCTCTAATGAACCTAGATGCAAAAATCCTCAATAAAATTCTGGCCACTCGGATACAAAAACTTATCAAAAAAATTGTGCACCATGATCAAGTAGGATTCATCCCTGGGATGCAAGGCTGGTTCAATATACGGAAATCAATAAATGTTATTCACCACATCAATAGACTTAAAAATAAGAATCATATGATCATCTCGATAGATGCGGAAAAAGCATTTGACAAAGTACAGCATCCCTTTATGTTCAAAACTCTAGAAAAACTAGGGATAACAGGAACATACCTCAATATTGTAAAAGCAATCTATGCTAAGCCTCAGGCTAGCATCATTCTGAATGGAGAAAAATTGAAGGCATTCCCTCTAAAATCTGGAACAAGACAGGGATGCCCTCTCTCTCCACTTCTGTTCAACATAGTTCTCGAAACACTGGCCAGAGCAATTAGACAGACGAAAGAAATTAAAGGCATCAAAATAGGAAAAGAAGAACTTAAATTATCACTATTTGCAGATGACATGATTCTATACCTAGCAGACCCAAAAGGGTCTACAAAGAAACTATTAGAGCTAATAAATGAATTCAGCAAAGTGGCAGGATATAAAATCAACACGCATAAATCAAAGGCATTCCTGTATATCAGCGACAAATCCTCTGAAATGGAAATGAGGACAACCACTCCATTCACAATATCTTCAAAAAAAATAAAATACTTGGGAATCAACCTAACAAAAGAGGTGAAAGACTTATACAATGAAAACTACAGAACCCTAAAGAGAGAAATAGAAGAAGATCTTAGAAGATGGAAAAATATACCCTGTTCATGGATAGGCAGAACTAACATCATCAAAATGGCGATATTACCAAAAGTTCTCTACAGGTTTAATGCAATGCCAATCAAAATCCCAACGGCATTTCTTGTAGAAATAGAGAAAGCAATCATGAAATTCATATGGAAAAACAAAAGACCCAGAATAGCAAAAACAATGCTAAGCAGGAAGGGTGAATCAGGCGGTATAGCGATACCAGACTTCAAACTATACTACAGAGCAATAGTAACAAAAACAGCATGGTACTGGTACCAAAACAGGCGGGTGGACCAGTGGTACAGAATAGAGGACACAGAAACCAATCCACAAAACTACAACTACCTTATATTTGATAAAGGGGCTAAAAGCATGCAATGGAGGAAGGATAGCATCTTTAACAAATGGTGCTGGGAAAACTGGAAATCCATATGCAACAAAATGAAACTGAATCCCTTTCTCTCGCCATGCACAAAAGTGAATTCAAAATGGATCAAGGAGCTGGATATCAAATCAGAGACACGCCGTCTGATAGAAGAAAAAGTTGGCTACGATCTACATTCGGTGGGGTCGGGCTCCAAATTCCTCAATAGGACACCCATAGCACAAAAGTTAATAACTAGAATCAACAAATGGGACTTACTCAAACTAAAAAGTTTTTTCTCAGCAAAAGATACAATAAGAGAGGTAAATAGAGAGCCTACATCCTGGGAACAAATCTTTACTCCTCACACTTCAGATAGAGCCCTAATATCCAGAGTATACAAAGAACTCAAAAAATTAGACAATAAGAGAACAAACAACCCAATCAACAAATGGGCCAAGGACCTGAACAGACACTTCTCAGAGGAGGACATACAATCAATCAACAAGTACATGAAAAAATGCTCACCATCTCGAGCAGTCAGAGAAATGCAAATCAAAACCACCCTAAGATACCATCTCACTCCAGTTAGATTGGCAGCCATTATGAAGTCAAACAACAACAAGTGCTGGCGAGGATGTGGGGAAAAGGGTACACTTGTACATTGCTGGTGGGACTGCAAATTGGTGCAGCCAATTTGGAAAGCAATATGGAGATTTCTTGGAAAGCTGGGAATGGAGCCACCATTTGACCCAGCTATTCCCCTTCTCGGTCTATTCCCTAAAGACCTAAAAAGAGCATGCTACAGGGACACTGCTACATCGATGTTCATAGCAGCACAATTCACAATAGCTAGACTGTGGAACCAACCTAGATGCCCTTCAATGGATGAATGGATAAAAAAAATGTGGCATTTATACACAATGGAGTATTACTCTGCATTAAAAAATGACAAAATCATAGAATTTACAGGGAAATGGATGGCATTAGAGCAGATTATGCTAAGTGAAGCTAGCCAATCCCTAAAAAACAAATGCCAAATGTCTTCTTTGATATAAGGAGAGTAACTAAGAACAGAGTAAGGTCGAAGAGCATGAGAAGAAGATTAACATTAAACAGGGATGAGAGGTGGGAGGGAAAGGGAGAGAGAAGGGAAAATGCATGGAAATGGAAGGAGACCCTCAGAGTTATACAAAAGTACATACAAGAGGAAGTGAGGGGAAGGGGAAAAATAATATAAGGGGGACAAACGAATGTCAGTAGAGGGAGCAGAGAGAGAAGAGGGGAGGGGAGGGGAGGGGAGGGGGGATAGTAGAGGATAGGAAAGGCAGCAGAATACAACAGACACTAGTATGGCAATATGTAAATCAATGGATGTGTAACTGATGTGATTCTGCAATCTGTATATGGGGTAAAAATGGGAGCTCATAACCCACTTGAATCAAATTGTGAAATATGATATATCAAGAACTATGTAATGTTTTGAACAGCCAACAATAAAAAATTAAAAAAAAAAAAAAAAAAATTTCCTCAAAACTAAAAAAAAATAATAATTCTTTGTATTTCTATTGTTAAAAATTCTTTTTTTTTTCTCCACCCTACCACCCCTTCCTGATGGCAAAACATTTCAAACCAGTTAAAGTTTATTTATTTTAAATGCTTGGTAAGCAATTAAAGAAAATTAGCTAATAAATGTGACTAGCAAAGTGCTGGATGTCTTTATATACATTAACATAATTTATTACCCTCCCGTACCACATTAATACTGATAATTACAATTAACATAAATTGGGTTTGATAATGTATATTTCTGAGTGCTTTATATAAATGATCTCATTTACTTCTCATTATCCAATTAATTCTGTGAATTAAACTTCATATGAAGATAAATTTATATAAATTGATTATGATTTGCTTCCTAAGTTTTTCTTTGATAAAGATTTCTTGTACTGGATAAAAATAAATAAATTTTTCCAAAGATTCTTAAAATGAACTTGAAATTTTTGTCATCTTATAATACAGATCTGACAGGTGCTCAAGATGGGAGTGTCAGAATGTTTGAATGGGGCCATTCTCAACAAATAACCTGTTTTCGATCTGGCGGCAATTCAAGAGTTACAAGAATGAGATTTAACTATCAGGGAAATAAGGTAGTGTGTAAAATGGAAATGGTAAAAGAGGCTTGATTGTGTTGGGGGTTTATAAATATCACTAGTTTGAGTTTCTGAAGAGAATAACTTAGTAAATCAATAATAATGCTTTAATCTTATATGAATTCTTTGTTTTTTAAATTCTAGCCAAAAGTACATTTAAATTTATTTGGTTCTTCCTGGATATATGCTGTAAATATGTCGACTAAAATTAAAAGTTGCCTTAGGACCAATGATTATAGGCCTATCGTATATTACACATTTTTTATTTATTAAATGTTGATTTCTTTATCCCTGGTAATCTACTTCAACTATGATCCAGCACCAAACAGCAAGTTGCATTTGGGAACTTGGTAGAAGTACATTTTACAGGCTTCTCTTCAAATTTACTGAATCACCATCTGCATTTTAAATAGATACTTTTGTGATTTGTATACTTATTTAAGTTTTGAAAAACACTGCTCTAGAACCAAGATATTAGCAAACTGTGATCTAGCCATCTATTTAGTAAATAATCTTATCACAGTTAATCCAACTATTGTTTGTTTTCTTTGGCTATTTTCCACTGTAACAGCGGAGTTCAGGAGGACAAAGACCTTATAGTGGGCAAGCTAAAATATTTATTATGTAACCTTTAAAGAAAAAGTTTGCTGAACCTGCCTCCTCTAGAACATCCCTTACCTTCATTTCCCCCTTTCTCTGCTTTCTTCAAATTGCCTCTCTGCTCCTCGTATCTCAGTTGCACTTTAAATAATCATTATAAAGCAAATCAGCCTCTTCTTTGTCTTCAAGTCCGTAATCCACTAAAAATTACTCATGTAGACCCTAGCTGATGGTATATCTACTTTTCTTTCCCCTAAGTCTCTCAGTCTTTAACCTTCTTCACATGTTGCTTGTATAATTATGTGCTACAACCTTTTGTTTACTCTTTGTCACATAGTTTTATTTCCATTTTACAAAAGTCAGTATTGTTTAATTTAGTTGTGAAATCATATTTGGAGAGCTTATTTCTTAATGCCAATTAGCAACATTTTTTGTTCCCTAGTGGGAAATTAAAAATCTATTGTAGAAACCAGTATAATTTGTATCAGTTAAGCATTGCTAATCTGAAATCTGAAATGTTCCTAAATCTCAAACGTAATTAGCAACAAATGAGCATTCCTAATCTGAAAATCTAAAAATGTGAAATGCTCTGAAAGTACTTTTGAGCACTTTAGGTTGCTGGTAAAGTTTTGGACTTAGGAGCATTTTGGATGTCAGATTTTCAGATTAAGGATACTCAACTAGCATAATCTATGCAAATATTCCAAAATCTGAAATACTTCTGGTCCAAAGCATTTTTGATAAGGCATACTCAACCTGTATTCTCGTTTGTGTTCCTTATCATTATCCTTTATATATTCATAATTTTCCAATTTGTTGTCAATACTGCATTATTCCTAATAGTCTCTATAAATAGATCATCTTGTCAACAAAATTGCATAACACGCAGCATAGTTACCTAACTGCAATATAGGTAAGATCATATTATTATTTTTTTAAGAATCCTTCAAGACAACTTCATGTCAAAATTTTTAGCATGATATTTAAGACCTTCTAAAATCTTATTTTTCAGCTTTAATTCTCAGTACAGTCTTCCACATGAGCTATTTTAAGGCTTGACAGGCAGAGAACTTACTGTACATTTACCTCCATCATGAATCCCAAATACCTAAGCATCCTCTCCATTTGATTGTCGTCTACCGATAGAAATAGACAGCAAAACTTCAACAAGGACAGTAGAACAGGGAAGAATTCTTGGAAAATTAAAAACATGATTCCAAAAAATTGTGTTCAGTCATTGAACTGAATCTAAAGTATTATGTGTAAGAATGTTTAAAGCAGCACTTTTTTTCTTTTTTTAAATTTATTCTCTTTAGATACATAACACTAGAGTGTATTTTGATATGTACATACATGGAGTATAACTTCCCAATCTTATGGTTGTACATGATGTTGAGTTACCCTGGTGGTGTGTTCACATATGAACATAGGAAAATTATGTCCAATTCATTCTATTGTCTTTCCTGTTCCCCTCCCCCATACCTTTCCTTCATTCCACTTTGTCTAATCCATTGTACACCGTCCCATTTATTGTGGGGCATCTGCATATCAGAGAAAATAATCGGCCTTTGTTTTGGGGGGATTGGCTTATTTCACCTAGCATGATAGTCTCCAGTTCCATCCATTTACCAGCAAATGCCATAATTTCATTTTTCTTTATGGCTGAGTAATATTCCTCTGTGTGTGTGTGTGGGGGGGGTACCACATTTTCTTTATCCGTTGCATCTTTGAAGGTCATCTAGGTTGGTTTCATAGCGTGGCCATTGTGAACTGAGATGCTATAAAGAGTGATGTGGCTAAAGCACTACTTTTTGTAATGGGATAAATTGAAAACTGTTTATAAGAGAAAAAAGCAACACAGTTCATTGGAAGAACTGAATAGCACAACAGAAATAGTTAAAAATCATGTTTATGGGTCTGGGGTTGTAGCTCAGTAATAGAGCATCTGCCTAGCATGTGTGAGGCACTGAATTCGATCCTCAGCACCACATAAAAATAAATAAATAAAATAAAGGTATTGTGCCAATCTACAATTAAATATATTTTTTTTAAAAAATTATGTTTATGGGGCTGGGGTTGTGGCTCAGCGGTAGAGCACTTGCTTCGCACATGCAAGTCACTGGGTTCGATCCTCGCCACCACATAAAAATAAATAAGTGAAATAAAGGTATTGTGTCCAACTATAACTAAAAAATAAATATTTTTTAAAAATCATGTTTATGATTGGGAAGCACAAATTAATAAATTATCCTATGATAAAAATGTCTCAGGAAATATTCTAGAAGAAGAAGAAAAAAACAAAATAATGAAGGAAAAGCAATATTCAAAGAAATAAAGAATAATTCCCCAAAGCAAAGAACAGAACGCTGTAGGAGAAAGAGCCTGATAAGTACTATGTGGGGGGGAAGTATTGAAAAACAACATATATTCACATACATCTGGTTGTTTTGTTATTGGATTTTTAAATTGAAGGATGAAGAAAAATACTATAAGCTCCTATGACAGAGTAGTGGTATGCATAGTTATTTACAACCTCCACCTTTCAAACTAATGGCATCAATTCACTCAAAGATTAATTTGACCATAGAGCATTATCCACAGAATTCTCTGATAAACAAGAATGGGACCTGAATTGAAGTCCATCCAAATTATCAAAGTTGATGACTAATAATACATGTGTCCTCTCTCTAAAGAACATACTTTATTTATTCAGAAAATAGAAAAAAATAAGAAATATAAATCCTGGAAAAATACTTGTAAAATACCTGTAGAAACTATGGGTTAATATTCCTAATTTTAGCCCTATTAATTTTTTAATGGACCAATAATTTAGTAGAGATATAGACTAACAATAGTAATAATTTATGAAAAGTCTGTGCATAGTCAGTAACCTTCACTAATAATTGAACTCAAAATTAAAGTTTTTTTGTACAAAATTGACAAATATTTCAAATTTTAATACTATTTAGTGTTACCTAAGAAAAAAAATTGGTGTGAATTCATATTTCCACTTAGGATTTAATTTTGCCTTCATCTCTCAATTTTAAATGACAATTTTTGACCAAGCCTTCCCAATTCTGAATATCTATCACATAGTTATGAAAAGGCATATCTGATTGATTGTATATTATCTTCTGAAAAGTGTTCAGTTCCTTGGCCCATTTGTTGATTGGCTTATTTGTTTTTTTGGTGTTAAGTTTTTTGTATTTCCTAGATGATGGGCATGTGGTAAAAATTTGCTCCCCTTCTGTAGGCTCTCTATTCACCTCGCTGATTGGTTGTTTTTCTGAGAAGAAGCTTTTCAGTTTGAATCCATCCCATTTGTTGATTTTTAAATTTATTTCTTGTACTATAGGAGTTTTATTAAGGAAGTTGGGGCCTAATCTGACATGGTAAAGATTTGGGCCTACTTTTTCTTCAGTTAGGTGCAGGGACTCTGGTTCAATTCCTAGGTCCTTGATCACTTTGAGTTGAGTTTGTGCATGGTGAGAGAGAGGGGCTTAGTTCCATTTAGCTGCATATCGATTTCCAGTTTTCTCAGCACCATTTGTTGAAGAGGCTGTCTTTTCTCCAATATATGTTTTATAAACTATAAGGGGAAAACACAGAGCTAGATTTGTTTTGACATAGAAATATAATAAATGAAAATGGAACTGTGGAACTATATATTACAATCCCATTTGTTATTTTAAAATGCTGTGTGTAAATGTTTAAATATTCATAGAAAGAAATCTTAAACAACATCAAATGGTCGTAGTAGGTATTAGATCTGGAAGGAGGAGAGGACAAGTGTCCAAAATAAACATGTGTTTTACTTATATACTTTACATAAGCATACACAATTTTTACAATTTAAATAAAAAATATTTTAGCTGTCTTACTCATCCTGGAAGATCTTTACATACTCCTTTATTGAATTATGTTAATGTCTTCCTAATTATAATTACTCCTAAGCTCCCGTAGTAGAATTCTTTTAATGTGACAATCCTTATTTCACTTTCTACTCTTAACATGTTTTCCTTGTTTTATGTTTCTGAAAGTTCTTATTTTGTCCTTTTCAGAAATGTTTTCTGTCTTACATATGACTTAAAACTTGGTCATATGTAAGTTTAGTAGTAATGTACTTTTTTGGAGTATTTATAGAGAATATATAGGTGATGCTTTAGATTACTATAATTAAAGGGGTATCTGGTGTTTGTTTCCTTTTTGTCTACCCTGGCATATTGTTTAAGCAGAAGCTAAATGTTATTTTTGAGCTAGATTCATGCATAGGTGAAGTAAAATTTTGAACAATATTTCAGTTTAATATTTAAGCAAAAGTATGACTGTCACAGTGAAGATAAGTTTAAATATGTGCTTTTGTATTAAACATTTAAAATTTTTTAAATATTTTTTCTCCAAGTTTGGAATAGTTGATGCTGATGGATATTTAAGTTTGTATCAAACAAACTGGAAATGTTGTCCAGTTACTGGGAGCATGCCTAAGCCATACCTGGTAAGCCAAGATTTCCTACCTATATAATAAATTTGAATTTTTATTTTAAAGAAACCAAGAATGTATTTGAGACAAGATATATTCAAGTAAAATCTGTGCAGTGTTATGTACTCCCAGTCACTTTATATAGGCTCCTGTCCTTGTATTATGTTTAAATTGTTCTGTGAAACATAAAAATCCTTCATCTCTGATAATTTGGAAAGTTAATATGTACAGAACTAACATGGTACCTCCAGAGACCCATGCAATGTATATATTACCTACATGGAATGATTGTCATATCAGTGCATCTGATTTTTCCCTGCAGTCCTGCTTCTCCACAAAGTACAAAGATTATATTGTAACTTGTTTTTCTATCTCCCCTCCTTTTTTTTTTTTTGTGTGTGTGTGTGTGTGTGCACGCGCGCTGCGGAATAAACACAGGCCTCATACATGCTAGACTAGTGCTCTGCCACTGAGCTAAACCCATGGCCCATTTGTCTGTCTCTTTTTAAATGAAATATTGAGGTATCTCTATTCAGTGCTATGTAGACTTAACCTTCTGTGGCTTCAAAGAACACTGTATTAATATTTAATACATTCTTCAGTAAAGCCCTTTACAGAAGTAAACAATACGTATCTGGAAGAAGTTAAGAATATAGCTAGGATTCCAGTAATTCATTCAAGGTTAAGTGCTAGAATACAATATTAAGTGAAAGTATGCAAGTGACAATTGGTTAGGATACATTAAAAGAACTTTAGTTTTGTTTGTTTTTTTTTCTTTATGTTTTTACTAAGCCAACAGATTTAAATTTTGGTCCTCAAAGAGTCTGCCTTTCCTTTTTTAATTGATTAAACTTTTATAATTTATCAAGTTATTAGTTGATGGAATATTGAGAACTACTGTAAATTTTCTAGTTTTGGTGATTTAGTAATTTTTATTCATAGATTTGAACAATTTCTTATAAGTTTAAATGTTTCTGAAAAATATGTGATGTCAGGTTAACAAAGGTTAATTCAAAGCTAATCTAAAATCCTGCTTTCTATCTTTTCCTAAGACAGAAAAATTCACTAAATATACCAGAGGAAATATTTAAAGTTTAACATCCTTATGTTTACCTTTGAAGTTTTGGTCAAACAAAAGTGAAGGGCTTGGGCTTTCAGTGTAGCTCAGTGCTAGAGTGTTTGCCTAACATGCATGATGTACTGGGTTCAATCGTTAGCACCACAGGAAAAGTAAAAAAGTGAAGGGCTTCATAAAGTATCATGACATACAGTCTAGTTAAATGGTGCAGGAAAAGTGTGCATGTGTCTGTGTGTATCTGCATCTGTGAAAGAGTAGAAGGTCTAGAGGGTGTAGCTCAGTAGTGGAACACTTACTTGCCCTGCACAAAACCCTGGGTTTGATCTCCAGCACCAAAAAGAGAGAGAGAGAGATAGATAAGAAACAAATGTGATAAAATGTTTAAAAATGCTGAATCTGAGAGAAGGATATGTGAAAGTTCTCTGGGCTACTTTTACAACTTTTCTTAAGTTCAGAGGATAAAAAGAAAAGGTTTAAGAAAGTCATAAACTGTATGATCACTTTTTGAATAATACATCTACCTGGTTATGAAATTTTTAGTGACAACAGTAACATTTATTGTTTATAACCATTCCAGACTTGGCAGTGTCATAACAAAACAGCCAATGATTTTGTCTTCGTTAGTTCCTCTTCTCTGATAGCCACAGCTGGTCTTTCAACTGATAATCGGTAAGAGATGATAGCTGAAACTGAATCGTATATGTATAGCTGATTTTTTTTATTGCTCTATGTCCTTGTTCCTCAAGAATAATTATGCCTTTAGATATTTTTTTATTAAAAAGACAATTACTTAGAACATTTTTAATGTCCTACTTGTAAAGTTAGGGAGAAAATAATTTGGTTATTAGTAGGATGTACTTTGTATTATTTTCTATGTATTTAAAAAGCTTGAGACAAAAATAGACTCATTATTTATTGGTCATGTCATTTAGTTAACTTAGTTAATCCACCATGGTCCTATTTGGTAGATAGATATGACTTTCACAACAAGAAAATAGGACTCAAAAAGACTCAGTTTTCTAATATCTAATCCATAGCCGCCCACTTCCCTTCACCCCGCCTCTGCAAAAAGCTAAATTCTCTCCTTTTCATCTAGAACAACTGAATTCTGAGGTCAAGGCACACTGAGGTTACTGAGCTTTTTATATTTATCTGAAAGGCCTCAGTTTTCACTAGAAACTAGTTTTTAGGACTGTAGAGTCTTCAGCCTATCTTCCATAGAAATTCCTTACATATATTGATGCCTCTTTATATCAGAAATTTTTCTTTGTGTTCAAGAAAGTTCAGTGTCTTTTTGCCATTTGTTTATGTCATTTCACCTGATAATCAAAGTAGTTTCTATATTCACCCTTTATTTGATATTAATGTAACTACCTGTTAAGCTGAAGTTACGCAGTTTTATAAAATAATAGTTTTTAGTTTTTTTGTAAAACGATTATGTAAGCTTGTTGGTTTGTGTTTGATACTTTTATAAATTTAAGAACATTCTTTGAGAGAGTCATGTTATTTCATTTACATGAGACATACTTATTTTTTATTCTGTTAACTTTCTATGTCACTCAAAAAGTAATCTTTTTTTTCCAGAAACATATGTTTGTGGGATACTCTTGTAGCACCTGCCAATAGTTTAGTCCATGGTAAGTTTTTTAGTTGTGGGGGGTTTTGTTTTGTTTTGTTTTGTTGTTGTTTGTTTGTTTGTTTTGTGATGCTGGGTATTGAACCCAAGGCCTTTTGCATGCAAGGCAAATACTCTACCAACTGAGCTAGATCATGTGTTTTACAACTTTTAAGGTTTATTTTGCTCATGATATCAGGGTTTGAAAACAAAAAGATATACATAATTAACTCTACCTGATACCTTGATGCAGAACAGTAGGATACAGAAAATATAAAAAGCATTTGTCCTTATTTTGAATCTGATAGCCATAGGTCATTATTATGAACATCAATTATACCTAGTATTATGTCCCCTCTCACCACTCCTATTCAGCATTGTACAGGAAGTCTGAACAGTAACACAAGAAAAAAATAAAAGGTATATAGATGTCATGATTCTGTAGAAAATCTCAGTCTGTAAAAGAAACTTCTAGAACTAATGTGGGAATGTAGCAAGAATACAAGGTCAATATACTAAAGTTAGTTGCTGTAAAAATAGTTCCTTAGGGCTGGGGTTGTAGCTTGGTAGCAAAACACTTACCTAGCATGTGTGAGGTCCTGTGTTCAGTTCTCAGCACAGTATATAAAATAAATGTCCATTAACAACTAAAAAAAAAAAAATTTTTTAAATAGTTGCTTAGATCATGGAACAGACATACATACACAGTAGACAGAACTTTGATGAAAGCAGAAAGGCAACTTAATGAAGAAAGAATAATTCTTTCAACGGGTAGTGCTAGAACAATTGAATGTTGAAATGTTTTAAAAAATGAACCTAGAGACCTCACATTTTACAAAATTTAATTCAGAATGGATCATAGGACCTACATGTAAAATGCAAACAATTAAACACGTGCAAAAAAATCTAGGTGTCATGGGTTTGATGATGAGTTTTTAGATACATCACTAAATACACAATCCATGAGAGAAATGCTGAATACAGGACTTTTTAAAATTAACCTCTTCTCAATATCTGAATGGCAAAAAAGTATACAAAAAGGTGATCATCATAAATAATCATCAAGGAAATGCATGCTGAATTTGCTGTAAGGCGCCACTCTATACACAAATGACCAAAATTAACTAACTTGAGAATATTAAGTGTTGACGAGGAGGTAGAGAAACTAGTAACTTTTCTACGAGTATGTTGCTGATAGAAGTATATAATGAAACAACCACTTTGGAAAACTGGCAGTTTATAATAAAGTTAAATACCTAGCATGTCCCAGCTGTGGATACTATTGCATATATACCCAAGAGAAATGACAATGCATATCTATAAAAAGCTTGTACATTAACGTTTTTAGCAGCTTTCCTTATATAATAAGTGAGAATTGGAGACAATTTTTCCAATTGGATGTCCATGAGGAAACTTTATATAATAGAGTACTATTCATCCACTATGACTGGTTAGATCAGATCAACTTAGGTTCCCTCTCATTGTGCCATGGCCAGAAAACTTTCTCTAGGAAATAAGCTGGGGCAGTTGTATGGCTTGTTTCCCATCTTTCAGAGATGGGAATGCCCAATGATGTCCAATCTCTCAAGTCATTTCTTTTCCTTATATTTCATTTGGCTTTTAAATTGTTTCAGGCAAGAAAGCAAATCTGGTCTTATGCCATCTTAGCCATATTATTAAGTGGTTTTAACATTTTTCTTTTAACTTTCAGCTTTTACCTGCCATGATAGTGGAGCCACAGTTTTAGCATATGCTCCTAAACATCAACTACTAATATCAGGTGGCAGAAAAGGTTTCACATGTGTATTTGACCTTCTCCAACGACAACAAAGGCAACTTTTTCAGAGCCATGATTCCCCTGTTAAAGCCATTGCTATTGATCCAACTGAAGAGTACTTCGTTACAGGATCTGCAGAAGGCAATATAAAGGTAAACATGAAAAAAATAAAAATTAAAAAAATAAAGGTAAACATGATTGATACCACAATATCTACAAAATGAAAAAAAAAATTTAAGAAATCTTGTCTTTAATCACTTTGACAATACCAGTCTTAAGTAATAGTAGTATTATTTCAACAGTGCTAATTACTTTTTAAGAAATCCTTTGATAAATTACATTTGAAATTTTTTTATTGCCTTAAAATATGCTTAACTCATGCTTAAGAAGTAACTTTTCTACAAGTATAAACATATCTCAGACATTAGAACTAGTCTTGCCTCTATATTCTTGAGTTGTTTAATTTACTGGATTCAATTTTCAGGTACTGAGTAATATACTGACATTTTCTTTTATCCCACATTTGTCCCATTTTTTTAATATAATAAAAGTATCCAACCACTCAGTGCCTGAGTGAAGAATTCTGAATGTACCTGGATAAGCCCTGTGCCTAGTTGTCCTTTCAAACTTAGGTTGTTTAAAATGTTAAGCAGCCTTGTTAAAAATGTTAAGGAGATTTATTAAAGGTACAAATTGCAGAAATACTCAGTTGTGAAGTCCAAGGTTCAGGAAAGTGCATACTTACTGGGTTTTTTTTGAGGGTCCTGTGGCCCCATTTGGAAATGGATAAATCAGTTTAGACTAGTCTCCATGTAAAATAAGTGGTCAGCAACCCTACACCAGGGATCTGGTGTTTTAGAATTCATTAAGCAATTAGCATATTTAGTGCAATAAGATGGACTTCTAATGCACTAAAAAATGACAAAATCATGGAATTTGCAGGGAAATGGATGGCATTAGAGCAGATTATGCTAAGTGAAGATAGCCAATCCCTAAAAAACAAATGCCAAATGTCTTCTTTGATATAATGAAAGCAACTAAGAACGGAGCAGGGAGGAAGAGCAGGAGGAAAAGATTAACATTAAACAGAGACATGAGGTGGGAGGGAAAGGGAGAGAAAAGGGAAATTGCATGGAAATGGAAGGAGACCCTCTTTGTTATACAAAATTACATATAAGAGGTTGTGAGGGGAATGGGAAAAAAAAAAAACAAGGAGAGAAGTGAATTACAGTAGATGGGGTAGAGAGAGAAGATGGGAGGGGAGGGGGGATAGTAGAGGATAGGAAAGGTAGCAGAATACAACAGTTACTAATATGGCATTATGTAAAAATGTGGATGTGTAACCGATGTGATTCTGCAATCTGTATTTGGGGTAAAAATGGGAGTTCATAACCCACTTGAATCTAATGTATGAAATATGATATGTCAAGAGCTTTGTAATGTTTTGAACAACCAATAAAAAAAAGAATCTTAAAAAAAAGACTTCTAATTATTAAAACTGGTAATTTTCATAACTCTCAGCTAGAAAAAAAACAGAACTATAGAAATTTGAAAAGGTTTTTCTTAGAATCAAAGTAAAAAATTAAAAATATAAATTGCATTCAGAAACCATAATTTAATAAATTCATGTACAGAGTAGTAAGTTTTTTTTTCTAATGATGACAATAAAATCAGGAAATAAATTAGTTTTCTAAATCTAAAATTGATGTTCTATAGCTTGGGAGGCTAAAGCAGGGGGATCACGAATTCAAAGCCAGCCTCTGCAAAAGCGAGGCACTAAGCAACTCAGGGAGACCCTGTCTCTAATAAAATACAAAATAGGGCTGGGGATGTGGCTTAGTGGTTGAGTACCCCTGAGTTCAATCTCCAGTACCAAAAAAAAAAGTAAAAATAATAAATAACATAGATGATAGATGTTCTAAAACTATATAAGTAATTCACATAAATAAAGATACTTATAATTTTTAAAAAAAAATTTTAGTTGCACATGGACACAATATCTTTATTTTGTTTATTTATTTTTACATGTACTGAGGATTGAAACCAGTGCTTTATATGTGCGAGGCAAGCGCTCTGCCACTGAGCCACAACTCCAGCCCTGATACTTATAATTTGCTTTAGAAATAAACACATTTATTTTGATATGGGCTGAAAATAGAAAATCTAAGTAAGTATTCTGAAGTTTTAAGAGCTGATGTTTGTCTTGTAGTTAAAGCATAGCTTTACCAGGATGGAGAGCCTCTAGGTGTTTTCCTCTTTTCAGCATTCTGATAGCTAGGTACTCAGTAGTACAAAAACAGGAGTAGAGTATTCCACTATACATCTAGAGAGCAAAAGCTCAGCTAAGAAATAGAAAATTTTTATATTTTAGTCTCTGTAATACTAAAAGTTTCTGTGGCATTGTACACTTAACCTTCATATAATTAGGTTTTCTCATCTCCTATGCAGGGTTAATACTACCTTATTAAAAGATACTATCAACCCAGTTTTCATTTTGTTCATAATGTTTTTCAGATTTGGAGTCTTTCTACTTTCAGTCTTCTCCACACTTTTATCAATGAACATGCTCGGCAGTCCATTTTTAGAAATATTGGAACCGGAGTGATGCAAATTGAGACAGGACCAGCAAATCACATTTTCTCTTGTGGAGCTGATGGAACAATGAAAATGAGGATATTGCCAGATCAATTTAGCCCTTTAAATGAAGTGTTAAAAAATGATGTGAAATTTATGCTGTAATATTTTTACAAAAAAGATGTATAATTTATTACCTGTTTGGTGGAAGTTACCAATAGATGTCATGTACAGTAATCATTCTCTATACCACAAATAAGCTCTTGCTTTATTATTTTAATGTTTATTTTATGGAGCTTTGCCCTTGATGCACTGATGCCTTAAAAATTAACAGAATCATTCAGAATTAGATTATATTGCCTAAAGTAGAATGTGTAAGTAATGCTATAATAATACATATTTATAGTATGGTGTAGTGAGTATGTCATACAGTTAAAGGAGTTTTGTTTTCTTATTGTTGATAAACTCTTCTGCAGATCTCTCTGCATGAATTTGAGAGTAAAAATACCCTTTAAGTAATGGCAGTTGCACATAATAACTCATCACTTAATCCACTCTTACTTCCTCTATCAGGCATATGCATCTCGGACTCTTTTCCTCTTAATGATAGATTGATATTTGAGTAAGAACTCAATAACATCTCTTTTAAAACTGTCATTGGAACATAAATGATAAATAAGCCAAATGGCTCATATGTTAAGTTTTCATCAATTTCCCCTCTAAAGCCCAAATTGTGTGTATGTAGATGTATTTGTGTGTATGTATATGTGTATATATGTGTATATATATATCTTACGCATCTTAGTTGAACTTCATTTGTATGTATATAAGAAAAAACTACATATCTTTTCTTGTGTTTTGTGCCATAACAACTACTGCCACCAGAATAATAACTTTTTTTGCAACTGTTTTCTTCATTTAAGAAAATTTTTTTGAATTCCATTCTAATTTTCAGATAAATTTCCAGATGATGTCTAAGATTATTTTAAAGATTACATAGAGTCAAGTAAGTCTTAGCAGGCAATAAAGATTCTGTGTTGGCACATGTAAAACACTTAAAAGTTTATCATTTTGTCAGAAGATATTTGAGTATCTACAGAAATTTTACTTAAATTTTATCTTTATTTCTTATTTTTTAGGTGCTTTTTAATCTTAATATTCTGAAACCTTATAGCAGTGTTTTTAGAAATAAATGTGAAAAGAGTCAAATTAGTATTTACAAATGTAAAATACCCTCCAGACCTACCATTAATAGAAAATAAACTAAACCTTATTATTTTATTATTTTTGCCAAAATACATTATTTTATTATAAGATATGACCAAAATATTTAAAATGCACTATACTTATGTATGCTAATCCTATTTGTTTCATGCTATACCTTTTCTGACTCAGAATTATAGAAAACTTGATAAATACTTGATTTTAACCAATGAGACAGGAGGCAAAGGGGACTAAGTGTTTAAGGGACAACTGTATAATATTTAGCTTAAATTTATTTTGTTCATTAGGAACTATAAATTAAGAGCATTTTTATGTAATGAGATATGGACAACTATTATCTTGGAAATTAAACAGTCAAAGCAAAGAAATGAAGGGCTGGTAAAATGAATTTTGTAATATCCTCAGGATACTTTTATCATAAAAGTATATTGTTAAAGATTTTGTAAATTGTATTTCATAATTTTAAATGTATTAAGCAAGTTGCAGTGAAACACTGTTATTATGTAGCGAGAGATTATAAACCTGTTCCTATAAATTGTGCAATAACAATATATTACTATTTTGCCATGGAGAAATCTGTGACAACCATTGCAAATAATATTATTGTTTGGTGTAGTTAAGCATAAGTTATTTTTCAGTCATTTCTTCACAAATCAAGATTCAAAAGGCTATAAACACTTTCAGTGAGATAGAAAATTTACTGTTGTGCTTATTAGAACAAAAGGCATTGGGGATGAACTATTAATAGTATTTTAATTGAGGGTTTATATGAATAACCATAAATTATGTAAGCCCATATGTATTTACAACCAGAGTCATAATATTTTAAATAAACAATCATGCAGTGACTTTTTTGGCATGCTATTGTTTTAAGTAATATTTGTGCCAATTTAGTTGACTTTAAATATGTGACATTTTAAAATGGAGGATTTATATATTTACATGTGATTAATGTAGGGAGGATTGAATAACCTTCTCAAATACCCTGTTCTTCCTTTTCTACAACGTTTTCATCTAATAGGAAAGCATTTATCAAGAAAGATGGGAGGGCTGGGGATGTAGCTCAGTGGTAGAACAGTTACCTTGAATGTGTAAGGCCCTGTGTTCAAACTGCAGTATGAAAAAGAAAAGAAGAAGAAGAAGAAGGAAAGAATATGGGAATAAAAATAGTTAAAAGGGACATATGTATATGTAAAATTTTATTATCCGTATATGTGAAATGAGAACCCCAAATACATTGTTTAATTCTGTTTTATGAGAATTTGGTTCTAACATTTCACAATACTGCAAGTCTCATTTTCTGGAAGGTAGGACTTTTCTTATCTAGCACCATGAGATAGTCACCTTCATCCTCCATTTTGGCCACCCACTTTTTTAAAATATTTTTTTCTTAATAAAAGAAAGTTTGCAGAAATTTCTCAAATTGGTCTCAGCGATTGAAATGATACAAAGATACACATTAAAAGAAAAGCCTTATACAAACTTAGGGCAGGAATGATGTTTTAACAGGATTACAAACCCAGGCAGACATGTTTTACTAAACAAAAAAATGTCATAGGACAGGAGATCATAGTCCAACTTAAAAGAAAAGTGGACCAGAAGAAATATTTTAGAGTGATAGGAAATGTCAGTGGTCCTGTATACAAAGTAACTCGAATTTTTTGGAGAAGGGTCAAACTGTGAATAAGTATTCCCCAAAACAGGACATTGAAAACAATTAACAGTCATAAAGTATGTTCATTCTCATTAGTGGTTAATAGGATGTTAGGGGGGGAAAGCAACAATGAAAAGGCGTATATTACTTTATTGTACTTTGCAAATAGTGTGCAAAAATTTTTACAAACTAAAGTTTTGTGGTAAGCGTGCATTGAGCAAAACTATTGAGGTAATTTTTCTAATAATTTGTGTTCAATTCATCTCTCACATTTTAGTAATTTTGTAATATTTCATACTTTTTTATTATATCATGGTTATTAGTAATCTTTGATGTTAATATTATAATTGTTTTGGTACACTACAAACTACACGCATATAAGACTGCAAACTTAGTCAACAAATGCATTTCTTCTGATGTTCTACCAACTCTATTCCGTTGTCTCTCTCCTTGTCTTCAGGCGTCTCTGTTCACTGAGCCACAAGAGTATTAGGTCAGTAAGTAAACATGCAGTAGCCTTTTTAGTGTTAAAGGAACAGTCATTCACCTTTTCCTTTAAGTCAAAAGCTAAAAGTTATTAAACTTATTGAAGAAAGCATAAAAAAAAAAGTGGAGCTAACCCAACAGCTAGGCTACTTGTGCCAAACATCCAACTTGTGAATGCAGAAGAAAACCTCGTGAAGGAAATAAAAAATGCTACTCCAGTGAACGCATGAATTTTAAGAAAGTAAAACAGCCTTATTACTGATACAGAAAAAGTTGTTTTTCTGAATAGAAGATCAAACCAGCCACAGCATTCCTCTAAACCAAAATCTAATCTAGAACAAGGCCCAGACTTCAATTTTATGAAGGCTCAGATAGTTGAGAAAGCTGCAAAAGAAAAGTTTGAAACCAGCAAGGGTTGCTCTGTGAACTTTAAGGAAGCCATCTCTAGCAAAGTGCAAAGCAAAGCAACAAATGCTGATAATAGAAACCGCAGCAAGTTATCCAAAACATTTTGCCAAGATTGATGAAGGTGGCTTCACTAAACAGATTTGCACTGTTGATAAAACAGCCTTATATTGGAAAAAAAGATTTCATCTAGAACTTTGAAAGCAAGAGAGAAGAAATCAAATGCTTGTCTTCAAAGCCCATCCTGATTTTCCTGTTAAAGAATAATGCATCTGGTGGCTTTAAATTTAAGCCAGCGCTCATTTACTATTCTGAAAATCCTAGATGGAACCCTTAAAAATTATACCAAATCTACTCTGCCTATGCTCTATAAATAGTACAAGGAAGCTTGGCTACAGCTCATCTGCTTACAATATGATTTACTGAATATATTAATCCCATTGTTGAGATTTACTGGTCTGAAAAAAAAATAGTCTTTTCAAAATGTTGCTACTATGCACCTAATCACCTAGGAGCTCTGACAGAGTTGTATAATGCTTTAATGTTGTTTTCATGCCTGCTAACATTATATTAATTCTGTGGCCATGGATCAAGGAGTAGTTTTGACTTTCAAGGCTTATTATTTTATAAAACACATTTGTAAGACTATAGCCTCCATAGGTAGTGATTCCTCTGATGGATTTGGACTGGGCAAAGTAAATTGGGAATCTTCTAGAAAGTCTTCACCATTTTAGATGTCATTAAGAATATTTGTGATAAGAGGTCAAATGTCAACATCAATAGGAGTTTAGAAGTGGATTCCAACCCTCATGAATGACAGTGGTTCAAGACTTCAGTGGAGAAAGTAACTAGGTATAGTAAAAATAGCAAGAGAATTAGAAGTGAAGCCTAAAAAAAAAAAAAGTGGGTGAATTGCTGCAGTCTCATAGTAAAATTTAACAGAGGAAAAGTTGCTGCTTATAGAAGAGGAAAGTGGTTTCCTGAGGTGGAATCCAGTTCTGGTGAAAATGCTATGAATGTTGTTGAAATAAAAATGGATTTGAATATTACACAAATTGAGTTAATGGAGCCAGTGGCAGGGTCTGAGAGGATTGACTCTGATTTTGACCCCCAGGTTCTAGTGTGGATAAAATACTATCAAACAGCATCACATGTAACAGAAATCATTCATGAAAGAAAGAGTTAATTGACACAGAAAACTTTATTTTTGTCTTAAGAAATTCCTGTCAGATATGGTAGTTCTTGCCTTTAATCCCAATATCTCAGGAGGCTGAGGCAATAGTGTTGCAAGTTCAAAGCCAGCTTCAGCAACTTAGCAAGGCCTTAAGCAACTTAGCCAGTCCAAAATTCCTACAGCTACCTTAGCCTTCAGTAGCTGCTACTGTGATCAGTCAGTAGCCACTGACTTCACGGCAAGACTCTATCAGTGAAAAAATTACAACTCACTGAAGAAGCAGGTAATTATTAACACTTTGAAATTTTGGAAATGTTTTAAGATTCATGCATTTTTATACATTGCTACTACACAATGAATAGACCCCGTTATAGTATAAACATAACTTACAGGCATTGGGAAACCAAAACATTCATGTGACTGGCTCTTTTGTGGTCTGGAGCCAAACCTGCAGTTTATCTTAAGTATGCCTGTAATACCGTTTTTCATTACACTGGTATATGGTCCTAACAATGACAGCATTCATTTTGGTGAAGATGCAGGGAAATGGGCACACTCAATACTGCTGGCAGAACTACAAAGTGGTACAAAATTACATGGATGTGTATTAAAATTGAATACACATCTGTCAGTGGACAGCCTTCTTTTGAGAAATTATACTATAAAAAAGCACTCATTCACAAAATTATATACACAGATATTTATTGAAACATCTGAGGGAAAACTAGATATAAACTAAATGATTACCAGTAGGTAAATGATTGAATAAATTGTGGTACATCCATATAATGGAATATTGTCTCAACACTAAATGACCTGAGAAAAGTTTGGTAAGAAAAATAGATTACAGCACAAAGTAAAAGCTGTAATATCCCATAATTTTAGAGGATTTTTGGTGTATATTTATGCTGGGAGCCATTAGCCAAGTAAGTATGACAATTTCCTTGCCAGCGTACCCCATGTTGCAGTGACATTGAATGTACTTAACCTTGCTCAAGGACCAAGGCAGATTAGGGTGTTCCCGGTTTTAAGATAATCTTGTTTAGGGCGTTCCCAGTTTAGGTTCCAGGTTTAAGGTTTAAGATTATTCCTGCTGGGAATAGGGCGTATCCTGCTGCCTGAGTTCCCCTTGAGTTCTCACGGGATTCAGACAGTATATTTTGGAGATAGAAGCCCAGTGGAGGTGGATTTGGGCAGAGAACGTGGATTTGGGCAGAGAACGTGGATTTCCCCAGAACGTGATTGTAGACGGCTGGTGTGAGTTCGGGAATAAAGAGTTGCTGTTTGAATCTACAAGCTGTGTGGTGGCTCGTGATTGTGTGCCCAGCCAGACTGCGGCATTTGTGCCCAGCCAGACTGTGGCATTTGGCGGCTCGTACGGGGAACTTCTGAAGCTTAGAGGTAAGTGAAATTGCTCGCCCCTGAGGAAGAGCGAAAGAATGGGTGACCAACTCAAAAAACAATGTGTTATTGTTTTGATTTATCTTGTTTTTGTTTCAAGCTGCCTATCCCTAGAAATTTCTCAGGCAAACTGGAAAAAATGGTTGACTAAAGGTTTGAAGTTTGTCGGCCCTGAGGAAGAGAAAATTGATACAACGATTTTTTATTCCGTTTTTGTTTCATTCAGTTTCGGCTTTGTTTTGTGCTATCTTATTGGGTTGCGTTATCTTTATAGTAGATTAGAAATTAGTAAAAAACAAACCGAAAAGATGTTAAGTAAATTGTTAGAGGTTCAGACCATGGAGAAAGACATTTTAGATCAAGCAAAAGAGAAGGTCTCTCGAGCTAGTCAGACAGAGGAAGAAAATTTAAAGGAAAAGGGGTTGTTAGGAAAAAGGCCACAACAGGAGGCTTTTAGTAACTCCGTTTTATCACAAGAGGGCGTAATTCAACCAACAGCCCCACCGATGGAGACAGCTGAGTGGCCCTCAAACCCCGTAGTTGATAAATGGGATCCTGAGACAGGACCTCAAAGATTAGCATGCCCTGTACTTGAACAGGCAGGAGGGCAGCGAATTCACCGTGCTTTAGGTTTTAAAACAGTGAAGCAGTTAAAGGAGGCTGTAACAACCTATGGTCCCCAAGCTCCCTTCACGGTAAGCATGGTTGAGTCCATTACTAACTTGGAC